AGCGAAAAGTGTGTGGGTGAAAAACTTTCCAACGAACGTATAACAGTGTTAGTAGCTGCCAATACGAGTGGGAGAGAAAAAAATAAGCTAGTCGTGATTGAAAAATCAACTAACCCACGATGTTTTAAAAACATGAAGCATTTGCCGGTCGCTTACAAGGCAAACAAGTCTGCATGGATGACATCGCAAATTTTTGAATAGGAGATACGGAAATGGGATGCAGAATTAAAGGGGAGGAAAATACAACTTCACTTAGATAACTGCCCTGCACATTTCAAATCTACGTAATATTGAATTGGCTTTTCTTCCAGTCAAAACAACAAGTGTATTACAGCCGATGGACCACAGTGTAATAAAAAGTCTTAAGAATCGATACATGAAAAACATTTTAATGGAAATAATCGACTCCGAAGACAAATTTTCCTTTAATATCCTAGGTGCCTTGGTGACAGCAGAAACAATCCAACACTGCTACCGTCATACAGAACTTATTACCGAGACAGAATGCGAACAGAACTTGGAATATGATCAGTCACTAAGCGAGTAGATAAAGCAGTTTCAAACAACAATTACGTTTACAAGTGAGGAGTTGCAAGATTTTATGGTGATAGATCAGGATTTGCCTACAACAGCAGACTTGACAGAGGAAGCCATATTACATCAAGCAAGAAAGGGTGAGGAAGAGCACCAAGAGGAAGAAGAAGATAAAGGAGTTGATCTGGGACCACCACAAGCCCTATATTAAGTTAAGCTCCTAGAGAATTTTTTTATGTATCATGGGAAAGATGCCCCTCTTGAAGAAATGGTGACAATACAAGCGAAAGTACGAGATGCATATTGGCACACTAAAAAAATTCAAAATAAAATGACCGATTATTTGAAACATTAAATATAGTTCTTAAATATTTATATAAAATGTTCGTAAGTAGATGTAAAATATGTATATAGAATAATTAAATATTACAGAACACATATGCGTATTGTTATTTTTCAAGTGCCTATAACTCTTTGTAACGAAAACTTTTCCTTCCCTTCAATTTCACTATATAGAGTTTCGATTGTATTTACTACAATTTACTGCTTTTATCAGACCAATGTCTAGCGTTAGATCACTTATTTCTTCACGGCCTACAATGAGATCATCTCCTTTGTTTGAGTTTCCTAATCATATAACTGAATAATTATCTGATCGTCTGCCAAAAACAGAGTAAAAAGTAATACTAGAGATTGTCGTACTACCGTTGTCTTTATTTTAATTCTAGGGCTAGGAGATTTATACAGGGTTATTCGCGGTGAGTGTCCTTAAAGATGTTTATGGAGAATGATTTACCAAATTTTTGCAATTAAAGCTAATTAAAATAATCACATTTCATCTGGTTAGCAGGCTCTGCTCAGGCATTGTGACGTTTCTCATTCTCTTTTTGTGGTGCACCACTACGGGTAGAATTTTGTGAGATTATATTGGTTAGTTAGTTAGTTAGATGAAGATCGAGATTTTTTGAAAAGAATTATTTGGACCGACGAGTCAAAATTTTCACGGGAGGGTCATCAGAAAATCCAAAATTTGTACGAGAAAAATGATTTCAACATACATTTAGTTTCAACGTTGCAATAAAATAGATTTTTGTAGCTACAACGAGAATTTGAATAGGGAAAATATCTAGATATTTTACGAACAGTAGTTACAAATATTTTAGATAATTTGCCATTAGCGTTGATGGACCTCCGGCTCATTGTACAAATAGAGTAAGTCAAGAACTTACAATCATGTTTAAAAACCGTCTAGGTTTATGGAATTGGCAACCGCTTTCGCCAGATATACCGGTTGATACCTTTGGGGCGAAAGAGTGTATAAAACTCCAGTTGAAACAATAGAAGATTCGAAACGCCGTGCCAGGCAGTCTTTTCAACAGCTTGAACTCAATCCATGGATATCTGGTTCTAGGTTATTAAAAACAATTTAAAACAAAACAAATGAGAACTAAAAGTTCAGATTTTCACGAAATTGTATACATTCATTCACATGACAATTCTTTCGACAACACCGTGTCTTTATCAAGCATTTGATAAAGACACAGTGTTGTCGACACAATTGTCATGTGAATATATATAATTTCATGAAAATCTGAACTTTCAGTTCTTATTTATTTTGTTAAATATATTTTCATCGAGTAAAAGCCACCTCAGTTCAACAATATAAAACCGTTTATTAGTCTTTAATATTAGTTTTGTGTATAACAGTGTCTATGAATATTAAATTCTTATTGACATATGTATTTCCTCCCAGATTCAGTTACTCATTTGAACACACTAATATCGCAATATTAAACTTATTTATGCCAAAAACAAATGTGTTTACAAAAACGTCACCATTGCAGGCCAAAGCCAGCTACCCAAAAGAACTGTGTAACTTTAATTCGCTTTAATTGCAATAATTTGGTTTTTTCCTTATAACTCGAAAACCAGTGAAAATAGATATACCATAGCTTGGTACTTTTAGATGGCAAATTAATTGCTCATTAACGTGCCAATAGAAAATATTGGGTGTTTCATTTAAAATTAACACTTAACATGGATTTTTATATCTTGCCAATTGGGGCCTAACTTATGAATGCCCTGTACGCTACGTTAATTCTCATACCATATTATGAAAAAGCAATTCAATAGGGAATCGCAACCAATTATGATTTTATATCGAGTTATTTATTGCCAAATTTCTTAAAAAGTATTTTCTATCTCCGAAAATGTTCAAGATAGGTATGGTACATGTTGCCTAACAAAATTCCAGAATTTTTCGTAGAATCTAAAAATACAATAACATACAGGGTGGCCCATTTAAAACACGTTGATATAGATACCTTAAGAGTGTATAATTTTCTGTTTCCCAATAAGCGTACACTTTATGCGGACGATACATCGTTTGTGATTTATGGCAAAGACTGCAATGAATTTATGCACAATGTTGATAATGTTGAACGGTTGGCGGAACTTTGGTTCACCAACGTTAAACAACTAAACATAGATAAGACAGAACGTCTTGTTTTCTCAACTGATAATAATATACTGGAGGGCAAGAATGTGAGGCTCTTGGGAGTGACGCTTGATGATAGTTTGAATTAGGCCCCTCATATTAACATCTTGTGTAAAAAACCGTGGGCACATTGCGAGTTACCTATTTTTCTCTTTTTCACTCTCATCTAACTTACGGCATAGTTCTCTGTGGTAATTTTGCCACAGCAGACCAGGCATTTAAACTCCAAAAGAAAGTTGTTCGTTTGATTGCCGGTGCAGGTTATCTGAAGCACTATCTACCAATTTTTAAGAAGTTGGAAATTATGCCACTTCCTTGTCTGTATATTTATTATTTATTATCAATTATTAGAAATACACAGAAACATAGACAGCTTCAGTCAGAACTCCTCTTACCATGATTATTTAACTAGAAATAACAAGCTACTTCGTGCTTCAAAATTCAAATATACAAAAAGTCAAAAAAATTCACTAAACTTAAACTTGTACAATAAACTACCAGCTAAGGTGAAAGTAATAGAAAATTAAAAAAAAACATCTTAACCTTTCTTAAAAGGCACTGCTTTTACTCCGTTGGGGAATACATGGGTACTCCCGCTGTGATTGAAGACAAAGAAGGGTCTGTGAACGGTGTGACTCTGCAATGACTTTCTATAATGTTGTTCTTATACACTATACACTGTTTTATATAATTTACAATCTTTTTATATAATTTATTCATTGTCTTGTTTTTTATATACATATTTTTTTACGTATTGTATTTATGACTTGTCATAATTGTAAGAACAAAACGTGGTCGATAAATTCTATTCTTTTCTATTCTATCTGGCAAAACCGCATGGCTAAAAATATTTTACAAAGTAGCACATATCCGCATACCAACATTTCCGATTTTGTACCGTAAATCATTCTACATAGAACACTGTATATTAGACTACAGGGTTCAAGAGGTCGGATGAGGTTATTCCGCTGAAACGCTATCATTGGTGCACTTTATTGAGGGTTGCCAGGTTGTAGGTATGTTCACGCTTGTATTAAATGAATTCAACTTGCGCTTTTTCGAATGCGGTTGGACAACCCGAACTTCGGACCATTTGATGTAGTGTTATTTGGTCCATATATGTTTCTGACCCTTAGATTTGTGTGTTTCCTTTGTGCTTCCATTCTAACATTTAAGGGTTTCTTTGTTTTTCAGAGAATTAAAATTAGTTTGCGCGTACCATATTTTTGCATTTGCAAAAGTGTCGGAGATAAGCAGCATCCTCGTCTTAATCCTTTTCAGGAGGTAACCTCATTTCCTATCTTAGTGCTTGTCGAGTTATCTTTGCAATGGTTTAGTGTCCCCTAAATCAGAATCGCTAAGTTTTTCATCTCTTTCCATAGCCTTGAGCTTTGACTATGCTGTCACATACTAAAAATTTCAATTTATTTAATGTTCTTGATAATAAATATGACAATATCGCAATTTGCTTTAGATATCTTATATACTAACTGGTGAATGGCAACGGTAGTAAGCAGTTGCAATTTCCTTTAGAAACGTACTAACTTAACTGACCCGATTTCTATCAACTTTTGCAGGACATTTCTTTGACGACATTGTATAAATTTTTAGTTTTTAGAAGGTCTTCCAATTCGAAATTAAAATTAGTAAATCAATTATTAAATAGTTTTACTAATTGAACTTATTATATCCTTTCTAAAGACCGGCAGATCTCACTAGAGAGAGAAAAAATCCATTCGAAAAAAAGAATCAACCAAAATCGACCGACGCATTTTCTTAAAGTTATTTTTATCAGTTTCGGCGGTTAGGTTAGCTAGAATCTCAAAGCTCAACAGAAATTTTAGTCCCTTAAGCCGACTTCAGCAGAAGAAACAGAAAAAACGTTTTTTTCTGAGGCAAATGTAGGTAAATCCTGTCGGTTTCGCATTCTCATAAACTCTGACTTATTGGCGTCTATCGTTTGTTGCAGGACCCCCGATTCAACAATGAAATCGACCTCAAAACAGGATACAAGACGAACTTGATACTGTGTCTGCCGATATGCAATTACGAGGGCGACGTCATCGGCGTAGCGCAGATAATTAACAAAACGAACAATTCTCAAGAGTTCACGGGCCACGACGTCGAAGTGTTCCAGCGGTACTTAACCTTTTGCGGAATAGGCATACAGAACGCGCAACTTTTCGAGGTCTCGGTCCTTGAATATAAAAGGAATCAGGTCAGTAGGTATTCATTGTCATTCATCCTGTTAGTTGCGTAGAGGTGTCTAGGGTGCTCCAAAATGAACGTCTTAAAGGACTCACAAGAATGTTGACGGAGTTGTTAACTTTTTCATGCGGATTTGCGAGCGTCAAAATGAAAAATTTAATAAATTTCACGTGTCATACCTAATTTTCAATGAAACAAATGGTGATAATTATAAATAAATTATATAATAATGACAACTATTTAAAGAAATTTAAAAAGGGAATACGAGCAAGAAATCAAGAAAAATTTAACTCAAAAAATAAAATAGATGTAATTAAAAATCAAGTTGAGACATCGGATGCGATGATTTTAACTCGTATATTTCTAGCATTGCAGATAATATAATAGGTAACATTTCTTTTTCTTAAACTCAATTGCACATCTAAACTTAAATAATAATCACAGTGATTTTGATAAATACTTTAATTTTCCTTATATATTAGAAATTAAGATTTCAAAATCTATTTTAACTTTAAAGAAATCTTAGCTATTTATAATATTAACAGCCGATTGATTAAAGAATATTATTCTGACTTCTCGGTGTCTCTTTTAACATAAGTATGCAGAAGTGATTCCACTTTTCAAAAAAGGCAGAAAATATGATATAAACAATTACCGTGCTATTTCAATATTGCCTATTTTTGGCAAGATTTTTGAACTTGTGTTGAAAGAGCTGCTGTGCAATTACTTGCTAAAAATGTCATTTTTTTGCTAATGCATAATGGTTTTTTCTTAATCCGGAAAGTCAACTATAAAAGCGATGGGTGCGATTGTGTATAACATATTATAGAATACGGCGGGTGGACAACGTGTATCTCTCTCTCTCTCTCTTTTGGATATATTAAAGGCCGTCAACTATGTTATTGCAAAAGTTGTCTGCTATTTTGTCAGGGTCCGTCATATCTTTTTCGAATCCTATTTTTACTAATCGCCGTCGAAGGGTGGGGGTAGATGCAAGTACTTCTTCTTTTTTACCCCAGGGTCAGTCACGGTGTGCCGCAAGGATAGCTTTTGGGTCCTCTCCTCTTCCTCATTTTCATAAATGATTTTGCACATTTTATTAAGTCCATCAAGTGTAGACTATTTGCATACGACACCATAATTATCGGCGGAAGTTCGTCTCTAGACGAACTGAACAGTAGTAGTAGGTAATGTTGCTGACTAGCGGGCACAAACGCAAAATCGCTTAGTTATGAGAAATGTGTATTTCGCTTTCTTTCACTCTAAAATGCCATATGGGATCACCATATGGGGAAGATATAATTGGGCAGCCAGAGTGTCTCGCCTTAAAAAAAAACCTCTCCGAATTTTCCCAGTATTCATATTTTGACTAAGACTAATAGAGGTTCACTCTAATAAATCAAGCTTTTCTGTTAACTATTAATAAATCAATTAGAAATTCTTTAAACTTTTTCAATAATACGTTTTTACCTGATACATATTTTGTGATGTATGCGGATAATCTTTCCTTGGTGTTGTTGTGTCGGAATGACGACGACCTCTTAGAGAAGTGGTATAGGGTACTCGATAGATTGATGGTATGGTTTAGAAAAATTATTCTATAATTCAACGCAAGCAAAACCCATACTATAAGGTTTCATAACTATCATAAACAATGTGATAATTTTAATATCTGAGTTTGGATGTATGTTTAAACAGGAAATCGCATACCGTATAATGTATGTATCGTGTATGTGCGTATGTATTCCTATACAATTTTGTACTTGCCTTTGGGAAAATCACTATTATTATTATTATTATTATTATTATTATTATTATTAATATTATTATTATTATTAATATTATTATTATTATTATTATTATTATTATTATTATTATTATTATTACCAAATATACAAGTATACGAAAAGACCAACACTTGCATTTCCGTCGGTACCATATTGACTCCAAAAATTATAATAAAAAAGTGCAAATATTATCCCTCTGCTGCTGACTAACTTAGGTGTTAATCTTGGTTTATGGCCAAGTTCACTTCAAACGCGATGAAAAATATCCTGGCAGGCGGGCAAGAAAACAAAAGAGGCGCGAAAGGTTGGCGTATTTATATCGAGGCGCAAAAAATACAATCTTCCATTTCGGATGATAAAAAAAAATTAATTATTAGAAAAAAAACTCGTTTGGGGACGGAACGGAAAAGCTTTATTTGATTGCTAAAGCGTCCGGTGCCTTGGCTCTTATTTGCTTTTCCTGGCGCCTATGGAACGGGACTGGTTTTTTCTAGTTACTGTACCCCTATAAATGGGGCAATTTATAATGGCTTGATTGAAATCGTCTTCCAGATTCCTGATGACATTACGCATTTGTGCGATATCCCAGAACTGATATCATTTGCGAATGGGACATTAATGTTACTGATGATTTAGGTGCAACAATTAGTGGGGATGACTAGTAAAAAACAATGTTGAAAAGACTGCATGAAATAAACTAACTGCTTAATAAACATTTTATCACTTAATATCGGTAAATTAAAAATAACAACTTTTTCATCATATCTTTGCAAAGATTTCAAAGTATTGATCCATATGACTACATAAAATTTTTATAAACTAAGATATTTGTCCAAGCTTACAATTGTACAAAAGTACGTAATAAAGGCCATCCATCAAAATTTATTAAATATTAATCAAATGCAGCTCTGAATAATTTGTGCTTAAGCAATTCCAAACATTGCTAATAAATAAATAAATGTAAAGCATTTTGGTTGGTTGATATATTTTTTTATTATATAGGTACACAAGTCACTAACATATGTTCACAGTTTTAGCCATTTACCATATTTACTTTTTTTGTGAGACAGAAGCGTTGCAATTGTTTTGTGTGCTCGGCAATTTTCTGCTGTAACAGAAAATATAAAAAAGAATTTGCATAAAATTGTGTGTAGAAAATTAGAATGTCTAAATTTCTAAAAATGTCTAAATTTTTGGTCAAAAAGAAAACCACAGTCATGCCTCAGCCACCATGTTTACCGGATATGGCTTCCTGCGACTTTCCTCTGTTCCCAAAACTCAAGAAACTCACGAAAAAAAGGAGGTTTGAAACGATTGAGGAAATAATGACAAAATCGCTAGGAGAATTCAAGTCTATACCAGAAAATGCTTACAAGAAATGCTTCAAGGATCGGGAAAAACGTGGGAACAAGTGTACTATATCTGGGGGGATAAATAAATTCTTTTTGATGAAACTTAAAAGTCACTTCACTTTTTGAACACGCCTTGCATTTATGAAATATATGTAAGAATGGGACATACTTACACCCAAATTTTTGATAAATTATATAGAATTTTGAATAAATACGCATTACTAACCAAAACAAAATGTTGGTGTGTCTTTTTAAAATTTTATGGTGAAAAAATTTTATTTTCTGATATTTTGGACTAGGAGTACGATATTGAGATACTGTTTTCACTACCTTATTTAGGTATCGTTTCACTTTTTTTTTGTGGAAAAAGTCGTATAGTCATAGAAGTTTGTATTTTTCTGTTATTATGTCGGCATCACTATGAATTAGACATATCATGTGAGAGACGGAGACGTAGGTTTTTCCATTGAGAACAACTTTTTGAACTCCTCCGTTGAGTGGTTTAAGAATCATCATCTAGGAAGTCTTTATGCGGTATTCTTTACCGAAAGCGTTTACGACGATGAAGAAATAACAAAGCGCCCAGAAGAACAAATAAGAAGAAAGCTACAAAAGAAATAGAAAATACTGAATTAGAAACTCTCAATGAGATCTCAGAAGCCACAAAAACAAGCATTTTGATCCACACCTAACGTGGTAAGATAGTAGACAAATTATGTAATAGGATTACCGGCTCTCTTTTTGTGTTGTTAACGTTTACTTATATGGGACCATTCTTATCTTAGACATATCTTATACTTTTTAGTTGACCTGTGAAAACAATTGTTTTATTGTAAATATCACAAAATAAATAAATTTGAATTTGAATTTAAAAAAGAAAATTCATTTCCATGGCAGTTCTACTTTACCTGCTAGGATTTTAGAATTTAAAACTATTTATCATTTTATTCGACGTAAATGCTTGGTGCGTGTTAAAAGAGTTCCACAAGAAAAAAAGTGTTAATAGGCAAATATAAACTTTTCCCCGAATATTGGTGACATTTTATATAGACCTTTAAAAGTTTACATAAATCATTTGAAATTGCAAAATTTATCAACGATATTATATATTCGTAGCGATTCCACGATATGTCCTTGCATTCTGTATGATTTATCGCATCGGTTGAGAAGGAAATCCAAACGAAGGAATGAATCGCTTCTGCCGCCTTAGGTGATTTTAATAAATGTTCGAGTACCTAGAATCAGTGAAATGTAAATTTATTCCATCCAGATTAGCTCGCGCTGCCTGGTATGTAGGTGGTTCCTACTATTAAGTTCTTCGCCTAAAATCAGTTTAATATGGAAATTCTCGGCAAAAGTGGTTGGCGAAAATGCATTAAGCTAGAACGTTCCCGAGTCTGGAAGTCTAGCATTTTTATCTCTGTTATTTAAGACTCATTTACATATCTCTGTTCTTTAAAGCTTAATCCCGGAGTTTACGGAGTTTCAGGATAAATTTATTTCTATTAACCGTTATTAAAAGTCAACCCTATCTCGTCAATTTGATATAAAATTAAACTACGTATCCAAAATTTAATTTGCAATTTTACCTACTCGGTTAGGCATTCCATAATGTATCTGCAAGCAAGCATTGAAACATTGAAATCAGATATTCCAGTTTCCATAATAATTTTGGAAACCAATTTTGTAACATCAATTTAGAAAACAAAGTATCCAATTATTTGTAGAATTTGAAATTAATCGATCATCACACCAGGAGAATATTTGACTTTCCTGATTTTAATATAATTATTTGAGGAATTTAGTTGTTCATCTAAATTTATTAATTAACGTGCTATTTTTTAATACTAAATTCCTTTTAAATTAATTAATTAAATAAAACGTTAAAATCTTTTCTTGCAGATACTGTTGAATCTGGCGAGGAGTATATTCGAAGAGCAAAACAACCTGGAATGTCTCGTTACCAAGATAATGAGAGAAGCTCAGGATTTATTGAAATGCGAACGCTGCGCAGTCTACCTTTTGGATTTGGAATGCTGCGAAGCCGTGAGTATTTAAAAAATTACACTTCATAGAAGAATCTTGCCATATAAAAGATATTTTCAATTTTAGGAAACTCTGTAGTGCTCTACAGGGTGTTTTAAAAACTGTATTACTTATTTCTATGTATCGTACATTAGCGTCGCTAAAGGGACGCTGCTTAGTTTGTCTAATCTTTTTTCATAATTATATTTTTAACGTTTTCAGCACTTTCCTTAAAGGATTCACGAATAAAAAGGTGCTCTTGCTTAAAGTAAAAAAAACTAATTTTGGAGTTGAATTTAAGCATTTTTTAACTTTTACTACCTTAGAGAATAACGGTTGTTTGAGAAACAACTAGAAAGTTAGAAACATTAATTTTTGTGACCCAATCAACGGTATTTGTAACCTAAAAACAAAATGATTTTTGTCTCAAGGTATTTTCACTGCTTCTTCTATTTTTACAAGTAATGCGATTTTTTGCAATGGTGGTAAAGTGTAATGGTGACCACTTATTAGATGAAACATAAGTAACTGCACTTTTTTCTGGTTTATCAACTTAAGTTTGATGACGATAATCATGTCATTATTTGACAGTGAAGTTTACAAACAATAAGAATCCGATAATGTTGAAACAAAGAATGTAACTTGGGCAGTTTGAAATCAAGAATCAATATACAACAATTTTTACATTTTGATCGATACAACTTACCGGAATGAATGAATGAAGAATGACTTGTATCTTGAATCTTGTATATTAAAAATTAATGAATAAATTATTAGATTATTTACCTTAACACTTTTTGTCGAGCTACCAAACTTTTCTTGAAAGAAGACCATATAATTTTTTTAAATAATTATTCACTATATTAGTTAAGTTATTTTGCTGCGATATCAAAGTTGCAGTTAAACAAAGGAAAAAACTGCAGTCATTTAACTCGTTCACTTAACCAGTGGTAACCATGCCAATTCATACTTGATGCGATAGTATTAAGTCCAAAAAAAAAAATAAAAAACACCATCGCGAAATTCGCAAAGTCCTCAGACAATCATTGCTATAAAAAATTTTGTTCCCTATCTCCTGTTTCAATTTTATCCATGACTGGTGAAGAAAAATTTGAATATTTACCTCGTTAAGTTAGCAATATGAGAATGGCTACAATAGTTGAAATTTTGCAGAAATCAGAATAAAAACACCTTTTTAATGATTTCCATCTCTATTTGACAAATTATTAGACGCTACAAGCATGCCTAGCATTACCATAGTGTGAATTTCAAACTTGTGAGACACAACAATATTGGACGTGTTTTACTGATATCGATGTTTGAGGAGGAGTAACCATGAATAAAATTGTTGTATTTAGTTAGGAATATCTACAAGACGTGCTAATTTGGTCATTTCACATTTCCCTTTTTGTAAGATTTCGCTGTGTTGAACGAAATTATATTCAAATTTGACACCAGAGAGTCTGCAGGTACGTGTTCCTAGGCTATTGTTTCCTAAAATTCTCCCAAAGGATGCCTTTAGAGCGGCATTTGCATTATTTAAAGGGTTGCGCCTCTAGAACAATTACCCGTATATAAATTTCTCTATAAATATGGTATGATTTTTCACTTACCCTCTAATTACGTGCTCACTTTGTGAAACTTGGATGGATAATTGCAATTCGGTTTTTTCATAGCTATTTCCAACCGCAAGGGTTTCCGTTCGGCAGATTTCATTCAAAACAGCAACGAAAAATGTAGTTCGCGGAAAAACAAATTGTGATCCATTTTCTCTGCGGGCGTTATTGGTTTAGTATTGGCCGACTGTGGTTCTTTATCGACACCCCCTCCCTTAGGGGACAAATTCATATAAATCGACTCTCAGCGGTCCGCCGATATGAGTTTTTTTTCTCGTAGCTGTCGGAATAATAGGGAGACAGAGAAAAAATTTCCACAAAACGCTTGAAAAAATATACAGGGCGTGTAAAAAAATATTCACCAACGCCCGTCATTAAAAAAAAAAAGAAATAAAATTTGTTGAAATTTATTTTGCTTTTTCTAGATGACATTTGTGAAGTTCAATACCGTCCTGGGAGATATTTTGTTATTTACTTTGAATAAGTAGTAAAAGTACAACTTTTTTGACCCTTCCGTTGTTTTGGAGTAAAAAAGCCTATTTTTATATTTATAATATTTATTTTTCAGGCAGTTCGATAAACAGTGAACAATGAAGCTTGGAAAAATTAACAATAAAAAAACCGATAAAACTCAGGTGCGGGTAGGGTATCCTACGACTTAAGGATTCCCGCAAAAGTCGTTTTATTTTTAAATATTCAACACCTCGTATATATTATAGCAACTTTTTTTGTCCTGGCATTTATTTTTTGAAACAATTTGCAGGTTTTTACTTATTTATTTATATTAATTTATTTCTAGTAGCAAATTTTATTAAGAGTTTACATATTAAGTGTAGCTATAGAAGTTTTTATTTAGAGTGAAGTGTATGAGTATGTACAGGATTTTCATTAATATTTTGATACCAACGTACAGAATTTATTAAAGCGAATACTAAGAACATTTTACATCAAATATAATGCTTTTTTATTGTTTTCGAAATGTACCAATCTAAATGTAAAAATAGAAATGAACAACTTCACATTTTTAAATTTAACACCCTGTATATATTTACTTAAAATGAAATTCCGATTTCAAATATACAGTGCAGTCCTTTTAGTATGCGACATATGGATTTTTTTTTACAACTAAAATACTAATCTTACCAAAAGTTTGTAATGTTCTATAATCAGATTCTCTTGAAATATCTGTAAGTCAAACAGCAAACAGGGTAGGAAAACAAATACAAAAATTGCGGAAGAATAAATTACCGTTATTTCAAAAAATTGAGCAAAATGTTATTAAGAAAATTTTGTTCTAAAAATAGTTATAATTATTATTTTCAATAGTTTTAAATACTGTTGCAAATTATTCAAGGTCAAAGCAATTTATTTTTACATACTTATATACAAATTTTTTGTTTGTTGCAATGATACTTAATAACAAATTAGAATTTTATAAAAATTCTTTTTAAATAATCAAAGCGTTGCTAATTATAATGGGCATATTAAGAAATCGTATTTATTAATGTTAATAATAATTATTATATTAATTTTAGTATGTTTTTTATGATAATCTGCGTCACATGTTTATTTCTTGCTATTTGCTACGATTTCTTATTATGCCTATGCCTCTTAAAAAGAATTTTTATGAAATTTTTAAATTTATTAAATATAAATAAATTCTGTGTTTCTCTAAAAATTAAAATCCTTACTTAGTTTTAGAGATAAGAGGAAACTGAAACAAAATTTCGCGAAACTGATTTGACTTAGAGTAATTTGCGACAGTATTTAAAATTATTCAATAAAAATAATAAGGTAATTGTAATTATTTTTTGAACAAGAAACTTTTTTTTATCTTAGTAGGCGCTTTCCATACGGCTTGGAAGATATGGAGAGCGCTTGAAACTTTAATGGTATATTATGCAACAAGTGGGGTAATAGTATATTATGCAACAAGTGCGGTAAACTTTTTAACCCACTTGTTTATTAAATACTACCTTCGCTCGTGTTAAATAAACTCGTGAGTCAAATGCCGTTTACCGAACGTGTTGCATACTATACTTTTTCTACAACCGTTAGTTTTTGGGTACATTTTCGTAAAACAACACGAATACATTCACTGACATGACCGTAGAATTGACAAACGTCAAAATTCAAAGCGTGGGAAATATCTCCGAAAACATCCGATTGCTTCCAAATCCGTGCGATAAAATCCCGGAAATCTCCGAAGTGGCTCGAATTCGTGGGAAAGAAAAGTGACGTGGTAAAGTGACGACTCCCGCACGCTAGATCGGTGGGTTATTAGGTATTTTACAGACGGTAGTAGAAAAACGGCATTGGACTCACGAGTTTAACACGAGCGGAGCGAGTGTTTAATAAACGAGTGACTTAAAAAGTTTACCGAACATGTTGCATAGTATACTTTTTCTACGACCGTTAGTTTTTGAGTACATTTTCGCAAAAAACAACACGAATACATGACCGTCAGAATTGACAAACGTCAAAATTCAAAGCGTGCAAAATATCTCCGAAAGCATCCGATTGCTCCCAAATCCCGCACGCTAGATCGGTGTGTATTAGGTATTTTAGACGGGAGTAGGAAAATATTTTTGTTATTTCTTAACTCGCATAATACTCTTCGTCGATGTAAATATTTTAAGTTTTGTTTTTAAAACTCGAAAACATTTGGCGTCAGCTTGTAAACAAAAAATCAATACCGTTTTCTAATTATAACGTTTTCCGTACGTCGGGATGAGCGAGTTAATACGAATAAAATCCGGATGGAAATGGCCAATTAAACCGCCAACCTTGATTGTTTAATTACGAGCGTTGCGGTTCCGATCACGCAGTGTGCCGTGGATGTAACAATTAGCGAGAAGGGCCTATATTTTGGTATACCCTTTATGCCGATAGTAAATTTTGAATGCCAAGTCAAGGTTCCTATTTATTTGAGTGTCTATTCCAGTGGATATTACGAATAATGCGGCATGTACATTGCATACTTAAAATATAAATATTTTTTAAGATTTCTAGGAGGCAAATGGATGAAATCCTTATAATCAGAGTATGTTGATATCAACTAAAAGAATAAAAAACTATTTTGTAAAACAAAAAATGGTTCTGCAAATTAATAATTCACCAAAAGAAAAGTCGAAACTCTATATAGCGAAATTGAAGGGACTACTTATTTTTTCGTTTTAAACAGTTATAGGCACTTGATAACAATACGCATATGTGTTCTGTAATATTCAATTATTTTATATACATATTTTAACATCTACTTAGGAACATTGTATATAAATATTTAAGAACTACATTTAACGTTTCAAATAATCGGTCATTTTCTTTTGAATTTAGTACGCCAATACGCATGTACCACTCTCTGGACCTATCGTAAAACTAAAAGCAGAAAAGTTTGTTGAACAG